ATATAAAATAACATTCAACTTTCCACAATTCCAATCCTGCTTTGCTTATTCGTTTTGACCTGCAGATGCAGATGATGAAACAGAGCTAACTCTCCTTGGCTTCGGATTTGCACCAGCTATTATAATTTAAATTGTATTAGTTTAGGTTTAGTTAGCGATACTGATTATAATTGAGGTTAATTATTTACCTGAACGTGCAATTACAAGAAGCACATCTGTCAAACTCACCTACAATTAAAATAAATATAGATAAATTAGAAATAACACTAGAAAATAATTTAAGATACAAGCTTACAAATATAAAAAAAAAACCCCTGTAATTTACCACACCAATAGCCCGCATCCGTTCATCTACTACCCAGAGCCGATGGGCCCTCGTAGCAGTTAATTTGGCGATGGTATATCCTAAAGTTGATGTTGGACGAGCATCAAATACAGGATACCTGTCCTGTACATTCAATTTTAGAGTGTTATTTTAATTTAATTATGATCCATATAACATTATAAATAATCACCTGTCCGTCTTCAAGCCCTTGCCTGCTCCTTACGTGACTAACAAATTGATGACATGTTTTCCACATTAAAAAATGGCTATAGCTTCGTAAAACGTACTATTATAAAGAAATATGAGTATAAATAACCAAATAGAACAAATGAGAAACACAAATATTACTAACCTTAACATCTGTCATGCTTATATTGCCAAGTAATAATCCCTCATAATCCACAATGGCGATAGAACTAAGGCCATTTTTAGCTACAAAAAAATTTGGAATAAAATTTTTGTAATGGCATATGAAAAAATAACATATAACAAACTTTTGACATACTCATCATTGTCAACGCGTCAAGCACAAACGAATCATTCTGGGCAGAAACAACAAAACCTTTGCCTATTTCAAGGTCATTGAGCTAAATCAAAACTAAAGCATGTTAAAAACAGTAATTAATGGAACATACGAATTTGACATAAAATTACATACAATACCGTTTTGGGAAAAAGTTGTTCGATTGGAGGAAATTTAGTCACCTAGTAATCATAAAATTAGTAAATCGATCTTCAAGAAATAAATTAGTGAAAGTAAGAACATATAGTACATTTTGATAAAAGTAATTGACCACTCTTGATTGAGTTAAAATTCCTTTAATATGACCGTCCGCGTCTACAACGGCAACTGTATAATTTTCGAGTTTTTAATTAAAGTTGTTTTAAAGTTGTTATAAAACATTTAAACAAGTTAAAATGTTTTATATGCTAACCTCTATGAGTTCCACTTCCAAACAATTCAACCACTTGTAACAACGAAGTTTCTGGAAGTACACTATAAAAAGGATTTTTCTTTGACAGATCTAAAAATAGAATCAATTATATCAGCAACGAATTTATAAATATTTAATAGAATTTGTCTTAATCTTACCTGAAGCTAATTTAACAGGGACAGGTTGACAGTGACTCGCTAATTTCAATAAATCTTTAAATTCTGCCGATAACTCGGCTTCACTTTTCTCTTGTTTTAAAGCATCCTTTGTCTTAAGGACAATAAACAGATATGTCATAACATCAGCCCAATCGAACATGCCCGAGTAGCTTTTTGTTGAATTATCATATACTGGCGCAGAAGATATATTATTACGCATAAGAATCTATGATAATAGACAAACTTTTAAGAGGTAGAACTAAAAATTTCGCAAAATATGTAAATAAATTGACTTGCTCACGTCACAAGCTTCTTCAATTGGTATCTCTCCGTCGCTGAAATAAGTTTACTCATTATTATTTTTTGGAAGAGACTACAAAAGGAGACAAAAACAACGAAACTCACATTACAACGACCTTTTGATCAATTACAAGATCAATGGCTTTAATCAACGTCCAGTCATGAGTTTCAGTAGTAAGACCTTCACGATGCGCGTCGTCTCCTGATAAGGTCGAACGACGAGAACTTGGAAGTCCAGTTATTGGGTCCATGGCAAATGTCAAAGATTTTCGAAATTGAGTAGGCGGTCATAATTTTATAAATATGAAAATCAGATTTTGAAAATCAGCTGATAGCTGATCACGATATTTAAGGGCTATTAATCAGTTGATAGTGTCAGGAGAGATCATACGTATGTAGAATTTGTTTTTTGTTTTACGTAGATTTGTTATGAAAACGTTATTTGTTATATAAATATATATAGCTAAGAATAACATTATTAATACTAATAAACTTATTCTTTCTAGTTTCAAATTTAGACTCACTTGGTTACTTTAGAAGTGCCTAAGTATAATTAGTCAATTTCTTCTTTTATTAGTAATATCTTCTAACGCAAAAATATTATTCCGATGAATTGTTAGCACTGTTGATAGGATAGAATTTGATAGAATAGCTAATTTTTTTAAATATAAATCTAATAACAACTATTTGATCAAATTTGATAAAAAATTATTTTATTTAAATTCTATGACTTTTATAGAATTTAAAGATTAAATATAGTTAAGTAAACAAAAATATTGTTTTTGACTATTTGACCTATTTTTTATTGCAGTAATACTGATTTCTCTGATAATTTTTTTTTTAACAAAGAATGTTGCTTGATTTAGAGTTAGAGATTAGTTAGATTTATTGTTAATACTAGTTAAGTATGAGAGTTAAAGGAAATTGTTATTAGAAAAATTATATAAACCTTTTTGATTTCATTAATTTATTTTAAAAATAAAAAAAAATAAAAAAAAACAGATACAAATTATTAACTTTTTCTGATGATTACTTGTACCAAATTTTTTTGAAAAAAACTTGCAATATCTTAAAATTCTACTAAGTAAACTACTTTTGGCTATTTAAGTAAAGTTGTTTTATATATAATTTGATATTTAGACAGTTTAGTTTTATATTTTATAATTAGATCTTTTATATAATATATAAACTAAAGCATAGGAATATTCTATAATCAATATCTTAAAAATTTATTAAGTAACTATCTCTTGTTACTTAATACAAAAAGGACTAGTACAATATAGAGTGTTCTCTTTTAAAAAGGCTTATTTTTATA